ATAATAATATTTGTGTGCGTACATATATGGGGAGGAGTATGAGTCATCGAATGATATTTAAGCAGTCAACATTTCGGCTAGAGTGTCATGTGCTCTAATGGTATAGCAGTGCAAAGAATATGCAAATTGTTACTATCCAAATGACAATGTCTGTTAAGTAAGTTATAAAAAAGGGCTTAACCAAAATTGGCTATAATCGAAATTGATTGTAGGATGGTTGCTATAGTCTTAACTTATTTACAACTTTAAAGGCATTCATGAGGCTAATCTTATCCGACGAATAAATCTTCACTTCCAGATTTGGAAAAAAATAGCATAACTTAACACCTCTGTGTATCAATTTATGAACAGAAAAATTGGTGACTGCATTGTTTAACAAATCAATCATAACTTACTTATGTCCCAAAAATAAAGTTGAGATGGACGTTGAATACAGTAAATTAACCCAAGATTATAAGCTTGCAAAGGATAACCAACAAATATAATCCCATTATCATCTGGACTCCATAACGGTTCACTGCAAGCTAAATTATACTTATTTTCATCGATTGGAGCAAAACTAACAGTTTCAGTAGTAAGATCAAGTATACAAAGTTTGGGTTTATGTGATCCTTCATTGCCTTCACCCCAATCCTCTTGGAATACAAACGATGAAGTGTCATCTTTGAGTGGTTGATCATTAGTAGTATTCTATGAATAATAGTTAAATTACATAAATTGACAGAGATTTCATGAATGTATTGATACTGCCTTTGAGCCAATAAAGATTGATCTATAGTGGATCAAGCTTTCAAAATCCTATTTTTTATTGTATTAAAGTAGTTAGCACATTGAATCAGACAACTAGTATTGAAACGACAGGATGACGACGGAAAGGTTGCTAAACCTACTGACTAAACATTTTCATAAAAAGGATTGATTCTAAAGAAGACTTGTAACGACAAAAAGCTATTCAACTACAAGTCAGTAAATCATAAATGAAAATTGCAAACATTCTGAAACTGTTGTTAACTGTATAAGAACAAACAAAACTCCACTTTGATGCTTTAGGTCTCTGTTCTACGGAAAAACATTCAGTTTTTAATGTGTGGTAGTGAAAGTGAAATATGATTAGTCACTGAGAGTGGGCAAACAGACACTCATCCTTCAGACTATTAAATATGTAGTTTCCTTTCATTGATTTCTACTCCACATTCGCTGAGACTGACTACTTGTAACCGCATTGAATAAAGCACTATCTAGTGTTAATTTGATTCTTTATTTTTAGGTTGTGAATCCTGGTTCTGAAATAACGTGACTAGTCTTATCGTGTTGACGTATTATCGTAATATACGTGAGAGAAGTATATTTTAAACCATCTGTTATGTCAAATTTTTGTACATCTGTCTGCTTAGGAAAACTAAGTACATCCGATGGAGAGCATATCGGGGTTAACAACATCAACAAAATACAGAATTCACTTATAATTTTAGTACTTGATTTTAAGTCGTAGTGTGATACTATCTGGTTTCATAAACAAAAAGTAGGTGGAATGGAGTTCGGATATATGACTTAAAGATTAAAAGTTGAGTGTTCTAACTATTTGAGCACATAACCACATAGCACAAAACTGAGATATTTGTCAGGAAGCTAGCGATGCTTTGACAAGGTTATTTCTTACAAATTATGTACTAAATTCGCCAACATGCGTCACTTATGGCGTAGGCGAGATATCCGTCTAGCAACCAAAGGACGGGTTTACTGTGTAGCAGTTTGTCCCGTCCTACTTTATGGCAGTGAAACATGGCCGATAAGAGTAGAGGATATTCGTAGGCTACTAGTATTTAATCATAGGTGTCTTCGAAGCATTGCTCGTATATTCTGGGACCACCGGGTATGTAATGCACTTGTTAGGAAACGGGTACTAGGTAAGGATGGCAAATCGATTGATGAAGTAATGAAACTTCATCAGTTGAGATGGTTGAGACATGTGCCCAACCACCGACTGCCTCGACGTGCAATGTTTAGTAGGAAGAAAGCTAGGGGCGGCCAGACCAAACGTGGGACAAATCCATGAAGTCACTGACAATTGGACTGAGCCATGCTGGTAGGTGTAGACTACCTGGTTGGGATTAGCGAGATGATAGCAATCGATGGTTAGAGACCTTGAATGACATGGCTCAAAATCGTTTGCAATGGAGGTGTATCCACTCTTTGTGTTCTCCCAAATTCTAATCTTTTGAATTATTTGTGTCCTTTTCCTTTTTCTCTTTCCAAATTTATTTCACTGTATTATACTCCTTCAATAACATCTTCAAACCCTAATCTTTCACATAATGCTTATACTCTTACTACTTCTACCAATATGGGATTTGAATCGACAACTTCATCCCTGTGCTAATGTGGTATAGCAACTCGAACTGATGTATGTACGTACGAAGTTCTACGTTGTAACTGACTGACTAAAATTAGATACTCAACTCTTACACGGCTTAGATAAGTCATTTACTGTGTGACTTACAGTCTAAAAAAACAAACAAGTACAACGTCATTGGTTTTTGATGGGTTGCTATTAGTATAGTATATAAACAGTGTCATGAAAAGTCCTGAATCTGTCAAGGAAAAGATAAAGTTTGATATATGAGCAGAAATAGATGTTAGCTAGCAGTGGAATCCAGGACGCGCATTTCGTTCTATTTGTGGACTTGTCAGTTGGGTGTACCTGCAACCCAGAGTTGATGTTCACCGCCGGACTCGAACCCAGTTTCGTTCTCTTTAAACGCTGTCGCGTTATACATTTACCCGCTAAGTCTAGATAGCCGGCAGCTTACGAAAGAAATTATAAGGACAATTTAACACTGGATCATAGCTTTCCTAAAGACATATGATGATTTTTTTCCCATCATATTGGCCTCCGTTTAGCTTTCTCAATGCTTTCTCTAACAAAGCAAGCATCATATTTCAACTGAATTCTAGTCTAACATTGAATGAAAACCAATCAAGGGTATTATAAAACGTTTGAACTATATCACAAACAAACCCATAATTCTTAATTCTAATGCAAAAGAGATAATAACTGTAAATTAACTTTAGTTTGTCGTATAAATCGATAAACGAACACTAAATTTGTAAAACAAGATAACTAAAAGAGGGAAATTCGGAAGAAAAAGTTAAATCTTCCCAAGATTAATTAGTTTGTAATGCAGCGTTTGGATTAAGAAATAGAGACTTAGCGAAACGCATAAAACACCAACTAGAAAAGTAATACTTTTCAAAAAGTACATACTGATGATCATTTGCTGCGTAAAGTTACCATTGGCAATAAAAAAAAATTGAACAATACATACATGCTGAGAGATGAATATCAAGAGTAAGATCAAAAGGCTACAATTGATGAGAATTAGATCTCAATATCAAATCAATAAATATCATTTAACTGTTCTGTCTGTGCAATTCATGAAATCTTGTTAATAAACTTATTTTATATTGTAATTACATTTAAAAGTAGCAAAATATGTCCAGTAAGATAATATTTACTGACAGACCACTTTATTGTTTCAAATTTGGCTAAGTTTATTTTATTTACATTGCGCAATAGATTGCATAAGGTACATGAACATGTAAGCATTTATGATTTGTTCATTTAAATACATAAACAGTGGTACAAAGGGGCACATAAATATATACGCGCCACGCAAGCTATTGAGTTTGTATATGAGCTGGGATACTACCCAGGTGCCCAAACCGAAGAGAGTTGACTAGAATACCACTCCCCGAGCCTTTAACCCAGAGGTCTAAACCACAAGGTAGTGTGGCACCATTATGTGATGCGGTCCTATGGTAGTCGGTTACCAACAACAGTTCCGTACACCATCTATTCTCTCAAGATTCTAGAACGCATGTGTCATTGGTTTAGAATTTGAGTTTTAAAAATCCAGGAGAATTCGCCTTATCCACTAATCCGGTTTAAGCACCGGACATTTTCTTTTCGTCCTATCGATTTCGTGAACAACACCCCCACCACGAGAAGGCAGTGAATAAGACTTCCCTGACAGTGGCTATATAGGAGTGGCCATATGAGAACATTTGAAGAGGGAGAAGACTCTCCCCACCCTCGGCCGTACTAGATAGATATTATTACTTGAAGCTATTCGATTGAGACGCACTAGATCAATTAATACAAATTAAAAACATTACACACTTTATAAGAATAATAATTAATACGTCAGAGGCTACGACTTAGTAATAAGTGGGTAGGCTTTCAAGATTGGACAAATCAAATTTACACTCATGAAATATGTTTGTCTGTTTTCGATCATGTATACGATGATTATAAAAAATGACGGAAACTATTACCTCAATAGGATTATTACAGACTTCTGCCAAATAAACAATCTTATCTCTTGCATTTGACCATCCAGCTCCATGGAATGTCACACTATTTGAAGGATAGACACGACCATGACGAGCATTAAGTGTCGTTGGGAGCTTGATAGAGTTTGTGAAACGTCCATTTATCCATACTTGAATGAAAATACCTGATTCTGCGGTACTAGCTATAGTAGGTTTTGAGGGATTTGAAGACAGTGGAGGATTACATTCGATACACACAGCCCGATGAGAACCTTCAGGAGACTTGATATCCCAAATAGTACGCACATGGTTCTGTGAGGCAAAAGGAAAGCACTGCCCAAATGAGGAAAAATGTAGTTGTGAAGTGTAGTCCACACGTAAATTTTCATGCATGTCATGTTGTGGCAAGGTGACCAGATAAGTTCTTGAATATGAAACACTATCTTTTCGAAAGGTGTTGGTCTGCGTCCATTCAGATATAATGGAGTATTCGTTACCTTTTGCGTTGTCAGGACACTTAAAAACTTTGATTTCTGATAACACTGGAGTGTTGAGGAACCCAAATAGCGTTGATAAAGATTTTTTCGGTAGCATGACTAAAAGTTTTGGAATACATTATGTTTTTTCCATCAGCGAAGCAACGACAAGAAAATATACAAGACAAAACATCGAAAGAAATGGAGTTTATTTGATGAAAAATAGAAATGTACAAAAATTCGATTAACATTTGATAAATGTAATATATAATGGCAAAATCGCCGGACATCATAACTCAATGTTGAAATTTTCCACTTTTTCCAAAGAAGATACAAGTCTCTGCAAATGAAATCCGAGTTCACTCGGGTCTTTTGATGAAGATATCAAGAACATAATCCATGATTTAACTAGAGTGCAATCATTCTGGAAAACAAGAAAGACATATATAAGAAATAAACGGTAAAGAAAAAATATATTGACAGTAATTAGTCGAACAATAAATACTTCATGAGTAAACTGAATGAAGATATGTGAATTACAGTAAAATCTGCTATTCATGTAACTGTTTAAGGCTAGTATTTATTTTATTTAAACACATATATATTGGTACAAAGGGCACCGGATACATATGCGCCACACAAAATAATGAAAGTAGGAAGAGAAGGGATGAAAAGATAAGGCGGACTGAAATGTACAACCAGAAGAGCTCTCTTAGTTAGGAAAGTTATAGCCGCCCTTTATGAAGAAAGTAGAAGGTTACAGCAGGATCGCCACTGGCTTCTATTCTGAGCCATATCTGATAACGTCTCTAGCCACTGTGTTGCACCATCTCTCGGACCCCAGCCAGGGAGTCGTGAAGGACCAACAGAAGCTAGCCCTTTGCAGCTTTCTTTCATGCCACGACACCATTTCATACACTGACCTCCTCTCCGCTTTTTCCAACCAGTCCCAGAGTCGGCAAATAATGCACGACGTGGAATTCTCTGGGACGACATTCGTAAAACATGTCCAAGCCACCGAAGTCGGTGTTTCAAGATGGTGACACCAATTGAATTATCGTCTCTGCGCCCGAGCACACGATGCCGAACCTCTGCATTACTAACATGGTGTTACCACTGGATGTCAGCAATCCTTCGGAGACAACGATGATCGAACACAGAGAGACGTCTAACATCCTCAACTCGGAGAGGCCAGGTTTCACAAGCATAGAGCAAAACTGCCCTCACCGACGCGTTGTAGATCCGACCTTTTACAGCCAGACTAACATCACGAAGGCGCCAAAGATGGCCCAGATTGGCATAAGCCGCTCTGGCTTTCATTATACGTGCATCAATCTCATCACTCACGCCACCACCAGCACTTATGTAGCTACCTAGATACACGAACTTCTCAACTACATCAATATGTTCACCATCTAGGGTGAGTACAGGATGAAAATCGTGCCAGTCTTGTAGGAGTACCTTTCACTTGGAGGGTGCAAAGCACATGCCGTACTTGCGGACACTGATTGCCAACTGATTAAGTGCGGATTGCATGGCTTGAGCATTATCGCACAGTAAGGCAATATCATCCGCATACTCGAGGTCGGGAAGTCGTTCTCCAGGCAACATATCCACACAGCCATTACTTACATCCATCAGAGCTGTTTCCAGGATGTCATCGATAGCAAAGTTGAAGAGGAATGGTGAGATCGGGCAACCCTGCCTAACCCCACTGCTCGAATGGAATAAGGGAGAAAGGTGGTTGTATGCCCTCACTCTGCCTGAGGTGTTTGTATACAGGGCCTTTAAGATGTTAATAAACTTTTCAGGCACACCCTTCTTCAATAGACAATCCCAGAGAACAGTCCTGTCCAACGAATCGAAGGCAGCCCTGATATCAAGAAACACTACGATTGTTGGCCTGCAATAAGTATGACGGTGTTCTAACATTTGGCGGAGGGTGAAGATGTGATTAATGCATCCTCGACCAGAACGAAAACCAGCCTGCTCCTCGCGAGTCAATCGTTCTCGCGTTTTAAACAACCTACGAAGAATGACAGAAGCCAATAGTTTGGACGCAATCGGAAGTAGACTTATCCCCCGATAGTTATTGCAGGAACAACGTGAACCCTTTTTAAAGATAGGGACGACTATCGACTCATTCCATGATGTTGGAACACTTTCTTGCTCCCAAACCTTTCCAAACAACACAGTCAATTCCTTAGTCAGAAGGTCACCACCATCTTTAAAAAGAGCTGGAGGTAAGTCATCTGGGCCCGGTGATTTGTAACGTTTCAAGAGTTGGAGTTCCTTGTGGACTTCCGGCTCGTTTGGTGGATCGGCCGTCACCGGCCATAGGGGGCAGGACAAACTGGTTGATGTTGCCGGAGCAGCAGGCCAGTTGAACTGTCCTTCGAAAAATTCCGCCCATCGTCCAAGACGTCGAGAGATGTTAGTGATCGGCATCCCATCATCCTCGTAGATTGTTTCACTCACACCAGACTTCTTGCTGCCAGTGGCTCGGATGAGTTGGAAGAGCTTCCGGCAGTTACCAGATGCAGCTGCTGCTTCCATCTCATTAGCACGCTCCGACCACCAGGCTTCTCGGTCCTTACGCAAGCTTTGCCCAATTTCACTACGTAACAGAATACGGTTGTGGTCATACTCACGGTCACCCGGAGTAGACCGACGGGCTTCTATCAGTTGTAAGGAGCCAGAAGAAATCCAGTGCTTGTAAGCGGGACGTTTCGCGAAGCCGCAAACGGCTTTACTCACCATTTTCATGGCATTGTGAAGATGCAACCAATGCTCATCTATACTTTTCGGTGGAATGGTAGCTAGTCTAGAAGCTAGCTCCGCTCGATACTTACTTGCAACAGAAGTTGCAGCCAGTTTACTAACATCGATCCGTTGGTGGTGGTCAATCCTTCGACCACTGAAAAGTAAGGTGAGATTGGCGCAGACCAGGGCATGATCAGACACCAGATAGGTATTCCAAAAGGAGCGGCAGTTTTGTACACAGCCACGCCAGCGGTAGCTGATCGCGATGTAACCAACCTGAGTCCAGGCTTGGGATGCAGAGGGAGAACGCCAGGTGGCACACCGGCGATGACTGTGCTGGAAGTTAATGCTGGCCAGAAACAGGTTGTGGTCTGTGCACAGTTGCAGCAAACGGTCCCCGTTATCTGTCCTGAGACCAACAAGTCCCCATCGGCCACCTAAACGACTCTCTTCTGTGCCTAGAAGCCCGACCTGTGCATTCAAGTCTCCGGCTAGTACTACAATATCTGTCGAACGAGCTTTCTGGAGAAGAACTGTTAACTGATGGTAAAACTCATCCTTGATTGCATCCAGGCTGCAATCTGTCGGGGCATAGGCGGAGATGACGAAAAGACACCGATTCTCACGCCGATTTCTTCTCACTTTGATGGAACTTTCTAATCTAACAGCACATAACCGACTGTTAAAGGGGATCCAATCGATTAGTTCTGCCTCAGCCCTAGCGCGTAGTGCGACACCAACGCCAGAAAGACCAGACGAAGATGCCATAGGGTCCCCGGATAAGCACACGTTAAACAAGCTTTTCGAGGCGACAGATGGAGAGCGGATTTGTAGTACTTCACTAGAGTCTTGAATACGGGTCTCGGATAGACAACAAACATCAACATTAAGACCTTCCAAAGACATAGCCAGCCCTATCTGTTGTCTGATATGCATTAGTGTGCGAACGTTGAAGGAAGTCAGCTTGAACGGAGTACGTGGTTTCAGAAAGACTGCTTCAGTATTCATAATCCGTGGAAGCATTCACTTTCAACCAGACAGTGACTGGAGATCGTTTAGATAGGACAGATTTTCCACCATGGGCGAGCTGCTGCATAAGTTGAAAAGTAAGGTTACACAAATTGGGGATAAAAGGGGGTGAGTTAGCGATATGGTAAATAATAATAATAATAATAATAATAATAATAATAATAATAATAATAATAATAATAATAATAATAATAATAATAATAAAGGTAATAATAATGTAAATTGTCTTGCTTCTAGTATGAGCAGGAATAGTATCGTCAATAGAATTCATCATTTCATTTATTTGTGTGTGGGCTGTGATACTGCCCGGGTGCCCAAACCGAAGCAGGTGGTTTTATTAGGGGGCCACACCCCGAGCCTTTGACCAAAAGGTCTGATCCACAAGGCAGTGGAGCATCGTGAGGAGATGCAGTCCCATGGTAGCCGGTGACTAATGACAGGTTCGTCCGCCATTCGTTCCATCAGGATACTGGAGCCCATGTGCACCATTGGTTTGGAATCAGGGTTTTCCAACTCCCCTAGGTGGACCCTCCATGTCCACCAACCCGGTTAAAGCGCCGGACATTCGCTTTTCGTCCTCTCACTTTCGTAAACAACACCCCCGCCACGAGAAGGCAGTGAGTAGGACTTCCCTGGCAGAGGCTATATATTCGCTGGCCATGTGAGAGCATTTCGAGAGGGAGAGTAGACTCTCTCCACTCTCGGCCGTACCAGGGCATTTGGGGGCTTAAGTCTAGTAACCTTCAACTAGTTTCAACTTTTATAATAAAAAAACAAGTGAAGCTCTTCAAAAGGCAGTGGAAAAATGTCGGAGATTAAAGTAATGACAGACGATTGATAGTTAATTTGGTTGCATACTTTAAGTCACAGATTTGACCCTCAACAGAGTAATTCCACTAATCAAAATTTATTATCACCCATAGCTCATTCGAAAAGATATTAAAATGTTATTGAACTACTGATTATCATTCTAGCTTTTGAAAATTGTTACTCCGTTTGAAGACCTTCTACGGATACTCCCGACCCGATACCCGGGTAAAAGAGGAGTACTGGGATGGGGTTAACAACCCGATTCCATAAGAAGGAACGTCGATGAAAACCAGACAGAGAAAACCATCTACACTATTTCATAAATTGTAGTTGACAATCCAAAAGATGATTTTGCACCTGCCAGTTATGATCTATGTTTTTGCATCTATCACCGAACGTTATTTATTATTTATTTATTTATTTAGACACAAATATTTATATTTGTACAAAGAGGCACCAGATATATATGCGCCACAAATATCTCGTTTGATTTGCGTGAGGGCTGTGATACTATCCGGGTGCCCAAAATGAAGCAGGTGGTTTTATGAGGGGACCACGCCCGAAGCCTTTGACTTAAAGGTCTGATCCACAAGGCAGTGGAGCATCGTGAGGAGATGCAGTCCCATGGTAGCCGGTGACTAACAATTGGTTCATACGCTATTTGTTCCTTCAGGATACTGGAGCCCATGTGCACCATTGGTTTGGAATCAGGGTTTTCCAACTCCCCTAGGTGGACTTTCCGTATCCACCAACCCGGTTAAAGCGCCGAACATTCACTGAATGTTAGCGATCAAACAAAAGAATAACAGCTACATAAATCACTGATAACCATAAATCCAGCAGGCTATTTTCGCCAACTACCACTACTTACATAAAGTTATCTTCGTCAGGGCTGTCTAATTTCACCATTCTCTGTTTAATTTTAGCATTATTCATGTATATTTAAAAGTAATATTCTGTAGGGCCAACGAAACTTCACTGAGACTTAGTCAAATCATCCATCAGGATGAACCGTTTCTACATTAAACGACAGATCACTGATAGTTAGATAGTCTATCTAACATCGTCTGTCAGGGATGGCTTACCATGGACTGATACATTCGGCAGTAGTCACAATGTTTCTTCGGCCTATTCTTACCAATACATTTTTCTAATAAAGTCACATTCGTTCTATACGGTTATTAAGATAGCCCCCAGTATCTGGGTACCAGGAAAAAACTTGAGTAAAATTATGAAAGGGTTTGAAATGTGTTTCTCAGTCCTATTTCCAAAAATTTAAATTGACGCTTCAGGAGCGATCTGAGTCACTAAATAGTTTGGCAACAGTAATAGACGTAACTGAATGGGTGAACCACTTCAGTTATCTTTCTATACATCATCGAATCAAACACGAAGAACTAGATATGATAACGCTGGTTAACGGCTCAGATAAAAACAATAGATGTCTTCTCCATGTATCAGAAACTTTTATAGCATATCATGTACACTCACTAAAAACATACTGAATGAATCATCTGAGAAGTGCCGAATCTACAGCCACAGTTTTATAGCCTTCATGGTCGGTTGGGATGAAAACCATTGAACAAAATCTGACGAATGTTGTATTATTCTGAGATGGCATACCAGTGTATGTCTTCTAAAAGAACCCGTCCATTTAGTCGAAGGCATCGAGTCGTGTACCTAGCACTATAAGAAACTATCAAAAAATCAACTGTCAGCTGACATCCGTAGAAAAATGCATATGTTATTCGGGTACCCACACCAAACCAAGTAGACCTTTAAGAAGACCACTAACTATGACTTTGACCTATGGTTCTAATTCATGGAGCAATAAAGAAAAGTCATCGAATACATTTCCATGATGGTCAGTAACTGTGATAAATTAATATACTATTCATTATATCATAATCCCGGAAACTATGTATATGGGTAAGACTAATCAGGGACCGAAAACCGCTAAATCTTCTAGATCCATCCTGTTTAGCCACCAACATACATTAAGCGATCAAAGTACAAAATACAAATAAACGAAAAGCACGATTAGTACTTATTAGTTGAAATAGTGAACGATATGATCCTGTATGGAAATGAAAAATCGAATGCATACAGCAATACAGTAGTGGCACGATAGTTTCTTACACGAGTCAGAGCGATAGTGCCTTATCGACAATATCATTGTCTGGAAACCCGAAGGTATGGGAATATAAACATACAAATGCAAAAGAATGGATATTTGAACATAAACTTAAAAATCACATTACAGATCCTAGACTAGAAGATACCTTAAGTGAATTAGCTATAGACTTCGAAGAGGGTGAGAAATCAGATGATTCTCGTGAAATTTCTTGCTTCTTTATCATTCGAGAATATAGATTATTGAGAAGAGCCATCATTTTTAGAGAAACTGATATGGGTGCATTCGAAGACAATGAATACTCCAAAGTTTTCATAAATTCCTCAGGATCCTGAAGCTGTATATGAAAGCTATAGATATACCTGTGTAAGAATTTCGTCACAACAATCTATATCACAAGACAGATTCACAAAAACTATTAGTAAATTTCGTAGGACGTAAGGATCGCGCATTTTTAACATATTACAGAGATAAACACATTTATTACGTAGCAACTTGCATCCATCTGGAGTTAATGCTATATTACCCAGGACCTGAAGAGCAACGCGTGCTTGATCACTGTATTCCGCTGCATTCGCTATAGTTAAAATATCATCGAGATAGTCCTAAAGAGACTATTTGAATGAAAATCTCATACCTTTATGATTGGAAAATTCTGTTGATCGCACGCCAGATTCATTACAACGTGAAGAATGTTTAAGTTTTGCTGGCATCCTGTTAACGTCCCTGAGGTAGAATCCAGGAGAGATAGAAGGAGTTTTAGGCACTTAGAATCCCTAATGACATCCTGAAATCAAATGGTTAATGATGAAATAAATTGATTACAAAATTCCGACGAAAAGATGAAGCTTCATGAAGACTGATGACAAGCTTCTGTCTTGTGTCATAATCAGATATATTGATCAGTGTACAGATGGATGTACAGAAATCAAGTGTTAAGTTCTCCTTGTCAAATTCAATGACTTTAGGGAGTGACGTATCGTCTGATGTGAAACGAGGCATTGATGGCTTGAATGAGACTTTTTTAACATGCGGTCTTTGAAATAGTCTCGAGAAACAAAACAGAGTGAACGCAGACGCCGCAAAAACAGACGATGCCACGAAGATAAATGTTCTGTTCATGTATTCAAGTCCAGATAGTGTTGTTATTACGTATCAGATCAATACTATCTGACAAAAACTGACCAATTTACGGGACAGAACAGATGGAGGGACTAGCATAAGCTTAAGCTTAAGAAGCCCGACCACACTTATTTGAACTGGACTCAGAAAATGTACGTCAATATAGCAAAATAACTTTTCAGTTCTTAAATTGAAACAGGAAAATCAAAATCCTAAAATTTAAAAAATTTCGAAGTGCACCAATTATAATGGAAATAATTATAAAACTAGCACAGTGTACACTATTCATATCGAGAAAATCCATTCGCATTAATATCAAATGCTCTGAAAAACGCCTTCTGGAAGGCCTAAACCATAAATAATTGTTTAAAATATATTGAAGCGTTATATTGAATAGAAATCACGTTTTTCCTCAGCAGATCACGTTGGATGGAGAAACAGTGGTCAATGCTACCATTAAAAACATCACACATTCGGCCGAAAATATCTCGTGACAATTAAATTCGCCTTCACGTCATAAGAGAGCCTATTACTAGAAACCTGCACAGATTTAAGTACCAAGAGTTTATTTTCGAGTTCATTTTTGTATAACTGACGGTAGTAAAATACAATCAACCGAAAGTGCAACAAACGATATTTATCAAAATAGTGCGGTACCTAATTGTGAAGGGATATTGTGTGATTGAATTTCGTAATTAATATGGTCTCCAAACCACTGTGAGTGAAGCGAGTGAGTACCAAACAGGTATAAACGATTGTGATGCATGAATTAACTGAATCTCGGAATACAGTTGATTAGAAGAAACGTGACTCCACTGCATCGTTACAAGCGTTGCTGTGAAAGCCAACTTTTGTGTCTGAAAATTTTTGGTTGAACAAGGCTCGGGTCATCTTTACAAGAACTCCCCAATACTAACTAGAAAAGAAACTTGAGATGGTCGAGTTCTACTCTTAACTTTCTTAATTAATTTAAGAGAGGCTAGTTTATGTCATCCCACGAGCTTTACGTATTTGTGAAGCTTATTTGGGAAATCTTTATTGTGACGAGTTGAAGTGAATGACCACTGGTTTTTTTACTCTCATGTCTATTTTAGATCATTTGTTTGCTAATTGGCAAGTTCATAGTCACGCTATTTTGGTTCTATATTATATACATAAACATATCACAATATATATTCATACATTTAGTTATTGGGGTAGTTTTTTCCCCTGAAATCTATTCCATTCAAGCTATTATAATAGCCTATCTCATCTTGATCAGACTTTAGTATAATTTGTTGTAGGACCCTAAAGTTCCGACTATCTTCCTTTAATATCCTTATATTTGTAGCACTTAGTTGTGTTTACCTTCGCATCTATAAATCTTGAATAGTAAACACATCTTCCAGTTATAACGGCCGATAAGTTTGTTATTTTACTTACAATAAATTTTGAAATATTTTTGACTCCAATTCCCCAACTTTAAGGAAAATTTCGCCAATTTTGGAGAAGTTCCATTAGAAGTCTGTGAAAAATGGGACAAAAAGCCTCAAAATACTGTAAACGTTTTGGGGCTTATTCAACGATTCCATACTATTTCCCCAAAGATTTTCGGTGACATTAATGAAATATTCAGAGTATCCGCTGGGAAGAAACGCGTTTCTCCCATTCATAATCGATGTCTCGTCCTTCCGCTAACATAACATCCTTAGGAAACTAGACGTCTACTATTTGCCACAATAAGATGTCACCTGTCACAGATATTTCTACATATGACTTGTTTCACTTAAAACTGCCTCATTAAGCCACCCAGTTCGTAAAAGTGTGCAAGCTGTGGATAATAAACTTGTAGTAGATCTACACATTGGTTATTGCTTTCAAGTCATGACAGACATTCAAAACTTAGTACCGATGTTATCAAGTCATCACATGTAACAGTTTTCAGTTGTATGATATAGTGGTGTTTTATTTTAGTATTAATTCAAACATTATGTCCGTCCCAACGATGAGAAGTGTTGATCATCCCTAGTAGCCAGTCGCTCAAAGAGCAACTATATTGTTTACAGGGAATATGTCACCTCAACAGAAGTCGTAGATCGGATTAATCCCAACGGCGATTGTTCTCGCCGAGAAAACTCAAAGTATTAAGTAGTTGTGGATAGGTGTGATAACACAATATCTTTCATTCAGATGGCTTGCAATTATCCAGGGAATCGGGGGCTACATTGACAAAAGACGTCGTTTGCAAATCTAACAATGCACCTGAAGATAACGCGCTGTTGTATCAATTTCATAAGCATATGTGTTGGTTTAGTTTAATACTGGTACAAGAATGCACGAAATATATATGCAACACAATAAAAATTAGGTTGTGAAGACAGGGAAAGTATGATAAAAGAGGAAATGCTATATTTCCGTACTCTAAATGGGGACGAATAAGATTGTTGAAGATTATGTGGAAAGTTCTACCGTCAAACTGGCCAAAATTGCTCTTCAATGTTACCAGTGCAATGTTTGCTCGAAAAGCGTTTTTCGTCACACTTTGCGAAGCATTTATTTCGCGTCACAAGGTCATACGGTAAGCCGCTCAAGGACAAACGTTGGGCTCAGCCTTAAACACGTTTGTGTCTGTCATATGATCTACGTTGAGCACTGGGGGAGTTTGAAAAGCAGTATGTGATGATTATCTTCAGAATGATTTCATTTCACATCTGTTATTGCATCTGTTATAAACATTTGAAGATGGCACAAATATTTGGAGGTTGACAACACCCTAACCAGTAACACCTGTTATTGGGTCGTGCCCACCCAGTGAAATCAAAGGTCAGAAGCGGGGAGTTTTGAAGATATATTTGAGAGGTTATTAATATATCGAGAAGTGACTGATCTAAACTGACTAGCTGTTGCAGGAGAAGTTCTGCACAACATGATCTTCCGTGAATACCACTAACCGTCTACAAAATCCAGACTCCGATAAACAGACAGCGAACGGAAAACCAATCGCCACCCACTGCAGAATATATTGTTTTACCTTAACGTGGGTTTACACAAGCTCATCTACTGGATTTTCGTCGTTGCAGATGTTTTTATGCCAGTCATTGGTATAGACCTTTTACCCATCGACACGTGCAAACGAGTGTTGGTAGATGGCAATACTGTATTGTCTGAAACTTCATTTTCTTGTTGTAGATCGTGTCCGTTCGCCATTAAGCATAGATTTGATTCCCGTTTACGAAAGATGACTTTAACTATCATTTAGAAACAGAAATGTTACAAGCCGAATGACGACTATAGAACCACCTGCATCTTTGAAAGCCTTAGAGCATGCGATATGCTGAACGTCAGCTACCAAGTCATCCGCCTTATAAAAAAGTTGGATAGATTGACTTGCTCTCTCCTGCTTAAGTTTAGCTATTGTGACGGTGCTAAACAATTTATTGATTTGGGCAAAAATATTAACTCTTTAATTCCATACAAGAGCATAAAGGTCACTCCTGGCCTAGCGCCCTCTCAACGTTGTGTAAGAAGACGTGAAGCGATAGAATCGTATAATAGTGTCATAGTAAATAACCAGCTAAAGACAGTTTGCAACACAGTGAATACTATAAAGCGCATAAACAATACGCATGATGTCATTCCACAACCAACAGGCCAATCCGTAGATCTAGATGAGTCTGCTGGCTAAAAACCTTTGGATAAGATACAGATTCCAACTGTCACCAAAAAGCATAACAACATCCCTGATTCCGGCTGTTCACTCAGTAAAGTGCTAAAGTGTGAGCCGTGTGACGACACACATCCAACTAAACATATTCACTTGAAAATTAGCCCCCCTAAAGACACTACAAGATAACTCGAATGAACCTGAATTCATCTCACAAAGGCAACGCAACTCTCCAGCTCTGACAAAACAGTTTAGGGGGACAAAATACCGAATAGGGAAACACGTAAGACTAAGACCAACTGTTTTGTGGGTATCCCAACAACAGTGGATAGGTTCTACCCGCTGATATCATGTAACTTGCCGTCAACACCTTTAAGTTGCAAAATGGGTGGCAGGCTCGAGCTCAACAAACCTTTTTACACTCACACTAACAAAAACTACCACAAAAATGATCACTTCACTCACCCTCTAAAACCTGAAACGATTAATAAGCACAGTAATTATAGGTTCCTCACCCCACACTCCATCTACATTCCCCAGGATCACAATTGTAATTACTCTCAAAAAGAAAACCTTCCACACCCTTCAATACCAACTCACTACATAAAAGAGGTGTCCATGTATAATAACCGTCTTAACTATTTCCGGTTACGTGCAGCAGACCTCCATCATGCTCACACTAACGTAAATAGCTATAACAGAGGCTACGAGCTTAACCATTAAAACTATTAAAACTAATAAAAGTACATTTTACAGTCAACCTGTGCCGGATTTCTTTGGAATAAGGCTGTTAGTGACACCCTTGTTATAGCCCACGTAATTTCAAACTACATGCCAAACATAAGCTCGCTTCACCCGTACAGTTCTCATCATAGAGTACTCCCACCCTTGCCTTCTGGGTAAACTCCCCAAGCAACTTCATTAGCTCATCTGACACATCCCTTGCTAGCTCTGGCTATCAAAATACAGAGCTAATGAGGAACATTCAACCTCTCACTTCTAACCCATATCACACCCGCGAGGGTTATGACTACTTTGGTCGAGATGCTCTCACTCATTTTAACTTAGTGGGCCACTTGTTTAACATGTGTCTTATCAACGCCAGGTCGATTTGCATAAGAAGACGGATTTAGCCCTGTTTGTATCCGTATGTCAACCATCGCTTATAATGATATCTGAAGCATAGACTATCAATAATATTTCCAACCTAAGTATATCTCTTGATAACTATTTCCTATATAGAAGTACTAGATTGAAAGGACGAGGCGGAGGATGCCTTATTTACGTTCACTCTAGCTTAAACTCACTTTTATGTTATATGCCTGAACTAAACAAACTGAAGGATTCAGTGTGCACTGTTTTAAATCCATTAGATTTCATTACCTTACTATTCGGATGTGTCTACCGTCAACCTAATGCATTAATAGATGAAACAGCAGCATTATCAGGGGTATTCTTACTAGCATCATCCCTGCCATTCACAGGGAAGCTCATTTGGGGTGACTTCAACATGCCTGAAATTTCTTTGTTTCCAGTCAGGGCTCCGAAAAGTTATGAATTATTTATTGAATGTCTAGAACTAGAACAGTGAACTTAGTATGTCAGTAGCCCTACCAGACATCAAAATATCTTGAACTTAGTCTTTACCAGTGACCTCACCCCCCAATACCGTGTATATTGAAAAAAACATTTCCAGGTAGTGATCATAACATTGTCGTATGCAGCATTAACATAAAAAACACAACCGGTAGACGTAAAACTGTAACACTTCGTAGGAACTATAGCAAGGTAGATATGAATAACTTCCAAAATTACCTAGGTAGCACTGATTGAGGAACTTTCTTTACTCAAAACAATACCGACACACTAACCAATATATTTTATCACAACATCAGAAGTATTATCAACAGAATCGCACATTTAGAATGCTGGAGACCTAAGTTCTATAAAGATCTGTATATGCCGGTCGGTACCCGAAGACGTCTGCAGAGACATTGTACTCTATTCCACAACTTTAATGACTTTTCCTTTTTAGTAACGATGACAGGAATACTTGTCCGAACAGAGGCAATAAGTATACAAAAAGCAATGGAACAGAAAAGACATGCTGTCAAACTTGATAATAACTCCTCCTCACTCACCATACTCTATTAAAATAAACTTAAACGTCGTAAATCGAGAGGGGATATATTTATTAAAGACAAACAAGTATACGAAGATCCTAAACTTGTTACGGAACTATTTAATGAACACTTTTGTTCCTCATTAACTGATAAAAAACCACTTAATGATTCAGAACTTATCACAGCATCTCCGTGTGAGATTACTAACGTAGACTTCAATGTACAAAATATCTCGAAGGCAATTAGTACATTCAAACACTCCTACACTGACGGACCATATGGTATTCCGGCTAGCATGCTTAAACGCGAAGGTGATGATACGTGTTTTTTATTACTCAAACTATTTGCGATATCACTCTCCACATCGTGTTATCTGACTTCCTGGAAAACTACACATACCAATCCCAAAATTGAAACAGGACCTGAAGCAAATGTTGAAAATCACCGACCCATAAAGTTGATTTACGTGGTGTCTATAGTGATGGAAGGGGTAGTTAAGGCTGCGGCAGTGCAACATCTAATTACTAATAATCTCATCTCAGTCTCACAGCATATATTTGTTAGGTCCAGGTCATGTGATACATGCCTAGTAGACTACACGAATGATATAATTCTGAAACCAGACAACGAGCTCTTTGTATCAGTCCTATTTTTAGACCTTAGAAAAGTTTTTGATAAGGTCTCACACAAAAGGCTTCTAGTCAAACTATGATCCTTCGGGATCAACAACCCACTCTATTCATGGTTTGTTTCATTCTTAAGGGAATGTAAACAAATGGTAAAGTACAATGACTGTCTCTCATCACCTAGACCAATAACCAGTGCAGCGATCTAGGGAAGTGCATTAGGTCTACTCTTGTTCCTTATGTATATAAACGATATACGTAACATCATAAAATCTGGGAAATCATTCTTATATGCTAATGATCTCAAACTAGTACACAGCTATAAGCCTGAGGCTCTAAGTGAAAGTGTATCCCTCATTCAAAATGGTCTCAATAACCTAACTATCTGGAGCGAAGAACGGCAGTTACCATTTAGCCTCAACAAGTGCGGGATCATGCATTTCGGAAAGCATCCTTATGAATGATAACATTACTTAAATAAAAGTAGATTCCAGATACCTAAATCAGCACACGATCTAGGAATTAGTTACACAGGAAGCCTAAAATTTGAAGAACAGACAATGTTCATGGAGGAATAGTTATGTGTGTTAAAGAGAATAAGTGTAAACAAGATATGAGTGGATAATGAACTGTATAAATAAAGATGGTTCAGAAAGAAGCTGGAAGTATGGGATTATTTTGTGATTATAAAATATAGTGTTAAAAACAGTATTGTGATACAAATGTCTGTCTCCCTTCTTCGTCGAAGCGATTTGAGCTCATATTTTGTTTTTAGAACATTTTTGTTTCTTGAATTTACAGGGTCATGAGGAGGCTTCGTTTTTAGAGAATTGTCTAGTTTGCTTGTAATTGGATTACTCAGTAGGAAGTGAAACCAATTCAGCGTTTTAAACACGGTTTAAAGAGTCATTTTGCATAAATAATTCAGCATCAACACCGTTGATTCGCGACATTCCACTAGACCATAAGGAGCCGTAATTAAATGCTCTGCCCTAGAGACACGGGTGGATTGAAATTATCTCCCCACCATCATATTTATTGGTCAGTAACGCCACTCTGGTAGTGAATCAGGGTTTGGGCGCTTAATACGTCATATATCAATGCCGAATTCCTGAGTCGCCTGTCTTAACAAACTTTTAGCCATGTATTGTGTTGTACAGCAACTTCAACAGTCCGTGAAAGTCTGCGACTTCACTATGCCGATCGCCATAAACCTATTTTTTCTTATCTTATCTCGTCTTCAGTCAAGCAGTCCCCTCCTGAGCCTCGATAGCTGAACTACACGTCCAATTTTATTTTAGATATACAACACATTTTGGAAGCTAGCAATGTAATGTCAG